TTCATTCTCATCCATGAGTGGCTATCGTCGCAAAACTGTACTCTCTTTCATACTAAGTGTGCAATGCTGTCAAAGCTACAGGCGCGAGCGTGGGGCTTGATCTCGTTGATCATTTGCACGCGATCTCGCACAAACAAAACCATAGATGAAGCCACACGTTCGTGCCAGCAGCTTTGACAGCTTTGCACACTTAAGCGGGTTTCACATGCAGCGATTTTGGCCCTAGAGCGGCGCGATTTCTGCCGTCGCGGCGCTCTGGCCAGCCGCAGCGGTTGAGCGGCGCGGTTCCACCAGGTTGGAAATTTTTCGCCGCGGCAGAGCGGCAGCTTCTGGCCACTCACAGCGCGGCGGGAAACCACGTGACAGGAGGAGAAGCATTGCGGGAAAGCTGGCAGATAGGACGGCGGCGGTTTCACCTTCACGACTGACAAGGAAACAGCGCACCCTCAAAACAAGCACTCTAAAGCTTTCATGCACACGAAAGAAAGAGCCACTGTTTCACGTTCTTGAAGCAGAGGACAAGCAGAGAAAGCACGCAGCGACTGGTTTGCGGTTTGTTTTTTTCGGGTGGGTCGAGCTTCTTTGCCTCAGCAGTCGCGTCGGAACTGTTCAGGAAATTATGGAGGAGGGGGATGGCTGTGCCGTTCCTCGGAATTTGTTTTCTCAATGAAAACAAATTCCGACGCTAGCGCTCTTTTTGCTTTCCTCACCTGAGTACCGACTGTAGCGAGCGCAAGAGACGCTAATCGGAAGCGGCTCGTGCGAGCGCTAGTGGGAAAATAAAAGAAGAAGAACTGAGCGACATTTCGTGTCTTCTCGAACACAGATCGCCCAACAAGTAGGAAAATGTATCGCGCCGAGTTCAATGAACTCCTGATAAGTGAAGTGTCCAAGCGTCGGCTTCTTTGGGACGCGCAGCTCAAAGCATTTAGGAACAGTGGGACGAAAGAGACACTCTGGGAAGAGGTGACTGAAGCCGTGAAAGTGATCGACAAGACCGGTATGAAACCACTGCACTACTACGGGTTTCAACGTTTTTACACTGTTTAACCATGTGAATTATTCAGCAAACGTCAAAGGCAGTGCATGGTATCGGAACAGAGGGAGGCGATCGCCCCCCCCCCCCCCCCCCCCTTCCCCGCGCCCCCCTAGATATTTCTAAATTTTGATGTAAGGAATACTTACTTGGACGGGGCAAAAAATAACTCTGTTTGCCCCCCCACCCCTGCCCCCCAATATCCGAGTAATTCGGACGTATCTGGTGAGGGGTCTTGATTTTTAAAATAAATATTGCAAAGTGGCTTATAGTGATATCTGAACAATTGCACAGGGTGTTCCCAGCAGTCGCAGTAGACCAAGAACAGCAATGCCCATGGCTTGTGACCAAGCACTTGACATTACCTAAGAAATGTGACATAACCAGCTTGCCTTCGTACTTTCGCTCGTTGTAACTCGATGTTTCTCTGCTTTCCTATACTTGGGGACAAGATTCCAACGCTATGAAATCAATTGTGTGGGTGCGCGTGAATCTCGGAACATTGAGCACCGGCGAAATCTATAGAAGCGCGCTCTTCGAAATGGCACAGAAAGTTGACCCCAAATTTAGAAGCGTTCAATGCTGCGCTTCCCGCCCCCGCTCGTTGCCTGTCGCAGGGCTCTGGTGGCGCGTACGACATTAGAGAGTTTTAGCAGATCGTAAACGATAGCCCGGTACAGCGGAGCTTGCGCTACTACTTTGTAGCATGCTTTTAAGCGCGCCCGGACTGTACCGGCATCGTATCGGTATTGTGTTAAGCGTTTGATAAAACTCTCTACTGTTATCAAAGCCAAAAAGCTTGTGTTCGATGCGGATCGCCGACTGTAGGACAGTCATTTATCCCTTTTGAGTCGACTGTATTACGAGCGCTCTCGAAGACGGCAACATGCGCAATGCGCGCTATGTTAATCTAAATGTCCAGCATCATCAGCCTTTTAATCAACATGCATCACGCTGTATACAACTTGACATTTCAGTGACAGTGGATGAGGTCCACTCCCGATGGAAGAACCTGAGGGACACTTTCCGAAAAAAAATGAATGACGAGAAGGGGACAAAAAAGAGTGGGGCTGCAGCTTCCTCAAAATCTAAGGTTTGGCCCTACATGGACCAAATGCAGTTCCTGAGGGACACATTAGGTTTGCGCAAGTAAGTGTTGGAAAATATCAATATTAATTGATAGGTGTGAGCACAAGTGCTTAAAGGAGCGGTGCAACGATATTCAATTGGAATGTTTTTCACTTTGCACGAGCTTACTGGCACTAGTGGGACTCAAGGATACTCGCAACGCCACTGGCTAAGAAACTCTTTTGTTGCGGTGTAATTTCAGAGACAAAAGCGATCATTTTCATTCAATCTTTCCTTTGCGAATTTTGATGACGTACCGTGGGGATCGCAGTAGACCCCAAATGACGATATTTGAATGCGGTTCATAGATTGGACCCGAGTATTGCGTGGGCACTCGATTTGGGCTTGTAATAATTACTAGCTCGAGAAGCATTCGGGTAGTGGCCCGTGACCAATCGCTGCGACGACGTCAATAGCCGAGCCATAGCAATGTCTGGAACTCAGCGCGTGTCCTATGCTTTGCCAACCCCAGCGCGTGGCTATGATCGACATTGGCGGCATATAATCGGCTCCAGATCACATGGCCGCTTGTTCTGGCTGCGAGTTGAGGGGGTGAACGCTGCTCGTTTTTTTTTTTATGTTTTTCTGGAACTTCTATTACGTGGGTTGAAAGACGAACGCGTGTTTCATATATGCCAGTAACGTCAGTGTCCCGCTCTGAGTGGTATTTGCGCGAAGTAGAAAAATTGTTGCACCGCCCATTTAATAATTTACATTCTTTTTAGAAGCTTCATCAACATGGAGGCCACCGATTTAACGGTGGCACACATGAGTCAACCGGCAGCAGACAGTCCGACGCCTCAAGGGAGCCCAAGGGGGCCGGACGCCTCAAGCAGTCTGAATCTGATTTTTGCGTCACCGGGCTACGCCGAGACCTCTGCTGCTGGTCCTTCCCAAGCAGCCGAGCCGGGAAGCTGCCCAAGAGAAAGCGTAGCGACTAGGACACACGCAAAAAGCCAAAAACGGAAGCAGGACTTGGAAGCAGTGGAAGACGAACTCAACGTTGTGAGAGGGGCCCTGGCAGCACACAAGCCTATGGATGCTACTGTCCACTTCCTGCTCTCCCTAGATCCATACTTAAAGGAGCGATGCAACAATTTTTGTACTGTGCACAAATACCGCTTAAATCGGATCCCTAACGTTAATGACCTATGAAACACGCGTTCGTTTTTCACCCCACGTAATAGAAGTCCCAGAAAAAAATTTAAGAAAAACGAGCGGCGTTCACCCCCTCAACTCGCAGCCAGAACAAGCGGCCACGTGATCTGGAGCCGATTATATGCCGCCAGTGTTGATCATAGCCACGCGCAGGGGTTGGCAAAGCGCAGGACACGCGCTGAGTTCCAGACATTGTTATGGCTCGGCTGTTGTCGTCGTTGCAGCGATTGGACACGGGTCACAACCCGAATGCTTCTCGAGCTAGCAATTGTCACGAGCCCAAGTCGAGTGCCCACGCAATGCTCGGGTCCAATCTATGAACCGCATTCAAATATCGTCACTTGGGTGTACTGGGATCCCCGAGTTACGTCATCAAATTTTGCAAAGGAGAGATTGAATGAAAATGATCGCTTTTGTCCTTGAAATTACACCACAACAAAGGAGTTTCTTGGCCAATGGTGTTGCGTGTGAGTATCCTGGAGTCCGAGGTGTGCCAGTAAGCTAGTGTAGAGAGAAAAACATTCCAATTGAATATCGTTGCACAGCTCCTTTAAAGGCGACACCCGAGTCTATGCAGACTCACCTTAAGATGGAACTTCTACATATTCTATCTCAGTATGCTCAAGGCCGATACCCTGATGCACTTCTTGTAAAGAGCGAGTAAAGACAAATGAGTCACACCTTTTGCTTGTTTATTCGTCTCGATGGTGTCTACCATGCAATGTATGCAAAAGTTTGCAAGTGCTCGCAGCACAAGGTGCGCTTCCGTTCAAGGACGTAGCCCAGCAGAGGTCCGCTGCCAAGGTACGGCCCCTTGCCTGCTCATAAAGTAGGAGCAGAAGAGGTTTCTCGCTTCACGTGCGGAACCGCTGTAATTGTGCCCCACCGGAGGCTCCAGGTCCGTCATAACTGTTTCGTCGTCTTTGAATGTCGATCGCCAGTTGCCGTTCGTGATGTTGCCATAGGCATCCTCTTTGTCAACGTAGCTAGGAGGAATGTAGACGGAGTCCTCCCGCAAGTAGTTGTGTAGTGCGCAAGTTGCCATGACGACGTAGTCTGCGTGTTCTGGTAGCAGGTTGATGGTTCTTCGGAATATCCGAAACCTTGATGCCAACACGCCAAAAGCGTTTTCGGCGCACCTCCTGCACAAGTGGAGACAGGTTCACGGAAATGATTCTTTACAATTATCCCGCAACAAAACAGACAAAAAACAACAACAATTAAACTATTTGCTGCCCTGCTAGAAACTACCCGCCCACCCCCTCCAATTCACTACATGGTTATTGCGCTTTTAAGTCACCTTGCACGGCTGAGCCGATAGTTGAATATTCGTTTGTCATCGTCCTGGTGCTTTCCCGGGTATGGTCTCAAAAAGTCTGGGCGTAGGTGGAACGCTTCGTCCCCCAAGAACACATATGGTGCGATTACTGTCGAGTTTGGAAGCCGCTTTGGTGGTGGCAGGCCGAGGAGGCCATTTTCGAGACATTTACCGAACCGAGAGGCACTTAGGGTACCTCCATCACTCTGTCGTCCGTAGGCACCGACGTCTACAGCAACGAACTTCAAGTCACTGTCCACAACAGCCATTAGTACGATAGAGTACGTACCCTGTAATGACAACAAATCATAAATGCAGTGAGAAATACAGCTCATAAAAAGTACTGACGCAAACTGCACCTTATAGTTGTAGTATAAGCTACCAGAATTCGGTGATGCCTGAATCTCGATGTGTTTGCCATCCACAGCACCAACACAGTGGGGGAAATTACACTTGTTCTGGAAGCCCTCAGCAACTTCCTGCCATCTCTCAGTAGTTGGCACCTGTGATGACATTGTGTCATAGCAGCAGACATGTAATAGAGCCTTCTAAATATTTCAAACGCGACTGCATGGAAGTTCTGAAATCAGTTTCATAAACTACAATTTTCGATGGTATATAATATATGTAAGCACACACAGATACCTTTACAATCTGTTTTATAACAACATAAGTAAACATTGGTTAATCCCTTAACCGTTTTAAGGTTTTCATGATCTGTATACTACATTACAATACTCAACTCCAGAACTTCATAATAAGTGCTCAACTTTGTGCAAGATGGCCTTCATTGATATAGCACCATTAATCTACGCGGGTTTCACATGAAGGGATTTCGTGGCCGAAATCGTTGCCGCTAGCGGCGTGGTGGCACGGATCGCGAGGTTTCACTTCACATGAGCGTTTCCTGCGGTTGCGATGGCCAATGTTGCTTGCAGCAAGCAGATGCTCACATTAGGTTACAGCGGCTTCCAATAATTTTAATGCCTTAGTTTTCATTTTATCCTTTAATTTCACCTTAATAAAATAAAAAAGCGTTTAAAATATTAAATAAACCTTGATCCTATTTGTTTATGGTTCTTGTTTTCTTTCGAACTTCGTTGTCGCGGAGGATCAAACGTCGAATCATCCTCGGCAGCGTCATGGGCAGCGCCTTCCTCGGATGTAGACTTCAACTATGGTGCCTGGAGCGCGTCTTCGACTGGTGTGTTTAGCGTCCTATCCCGCCCATACATCAAAAGTGGTCCCGATGTGGCAACAAATGACGCGAGTGTCATGCTGTTGCCTGTCGCGATCCTGGCGGTTGGCCGTAGAAATGCTGGCGAAAAGCAGGAGCGAACGCGAGTGTCGCTGTCTTCACGGCGTCCCGTTAGGCGTCCCAACTTCCGGCTGCACTAGCTTCCGTGAACTGTCACAGTGGAAAGCGACCTGGAGCAGAACAGGCATCTGCTACATACACCATAACTGTTGGGACGCCACCAGGGTCGCGACCGGCGACAGCAGAACACTTTTATGACGTCATCAGGCGGAAACGAGGGACCACTTTTTTGGCCGCGGTAAACACACCATTCAAAGACGCGATCCAGGCACCATACTTCAACTGATATGACCGACCCGAACCTCGCGAACCGGTAGTAGTGCAGTCGTTTCATACCGGTCTTGTCGATCACTTTCAAGGCCTCAGTCACCTCTTCCCCGAGTTTCTCTTTGATCCCATTGTTCCTAAATTCTTTGAGCTGCGCGTCCTAAGGAACCCGACGCTTGGACAGTTCACTGATAAGCAGTGCATTGAACTGGGCGCAACATGTTTCGTCTTACTTGGTGCAACGATCTGTGTTGGAAAAAAACATGTCAATGTCGCTCAGTTCTTCTTCTTTTGTTTTTCTCACTAGCGCACGTACAACCCGCTACCAAGTAGCGTCTCTTGCGCTCGCTACAGTCGGTACTCGGGCGAGGAAAGCAAAAAAGAGTCGCGTAATTCATTGAGAAAACAAATTACGAGGAAGGGGACAGCAATCCCTCTCCTCAATGATCTACTGAACAGTTCCGACGCGACTGCTGAAGCAAAGAAGCGCGACCCGCCGTAAAAGAGATATCGCAAACCAGTCGCTTGCGTACTTTCTCTGCTTGTCGTCTGCTTCAAGAACGTGAAAACGCCACCGTCCTGTGCGCCAGCTTTCCCGCAATGTTTCTCCTCCTGTCACGTGACTTAACGCCTCGCTGTGAGTGGCCAAGGCGAGAGCTGCCGCTCTGCCGCGGCGAAGAATTTCCAACCAGGTGGAACCGTGCCGCTCAGCCGCTGCGGCTGGCCAGAGCGCCGCGACGGCAGAAATCGCGCCGCTCTAGAGCCAAAATCGCTGCATGTGAAACCCGCTGACGAACTGTGACGGCTTGTATACCCAGGTATTGTCAGGCAAAAAGAAGCGGGGCTCGGACGGCAGTGCGCGAGCTGAGCTCTCGGATCTGCATTGAATGGTCACCGTGGACGCACCATCTTAATCAGTATGCTTATTTCCCGATTTAAAACGTATTCAATACTAGAATCCCCAGCAGTGTCAGTATTTCTCTAAAAGCACCTCACAAATTACTGGTAATAGAAGAGGTGCGCAAAATTTAATCTTAAGCAAAGCATTTTCTATCACTAATTTGACCAGCCAGCCTTTCAACATACCTTTAGACAAAGGGGTTGGAGAGCTGTCCAGAGAATCTTGCAGGTGGAGTGAATGACACCCGCCGCTGTCGAGATTCCGACTCTAAAGGCCAGAGCAATGTCCTGTATCTGCATTCCAGACGATAAGTACCTTAAAGAAAGCGGGTGGAACAGTAAATCATATGTCTGTGCATAAATCAGAGCTAATTAGAAAAGCAGGAAAGTTCCCAGTACCTGAGTGTCATGGCAAGTCTAGCCCGCGATAATAGCGGCTCCCGCGTGAGGTAAGCTCTTGTGAGTGGTGTTTCGACCAGGGAATGGAGCTCTTCAAATTTTTCAGGTCTCATCTTATAGTACACTCTAAAAATGGTCACGCATGGCAAGCGTGACGCAAAGCGATTTTTTGCACGCTTGTTCTAAGCGTGGTGTTTTTCAACGCTTAGAATTCACGCTCCCTAAGCGTGAACTGCGCATATGTTTAACGCTTGCAGGCGTGACGCAAAGCGATTATTTACACGCTTGTTCTAAGCGTGCTGTTTTTCAACCCTTAGAATTCACGCTCCCTAAGCGTGAACTGTGCTATGGTTTAAAGCTTCGCAGGCGTGAGGGGGCCCTTGTGTTTACACGCTTATTACAGCGTGCGTTTTCTCCACGCTTAGATAATGGCGCCTACTAGGCGTGTGAAATGCGCGTTGCGGTGGAGACCTCTGGCCGTGGGCATTGAGCTTTCCCGCATTTAGTATATCGTCCCAATAACTAAGATTATTGGGACGACATACTAAATGCGAGAAAGCCCAATGTCAGCGGCCAGAAGTTTCAACCACGACGCACATTTCACGCGCCTAGAAGGCGTCATTATTTGAGAGTGGAGAAAACGCACGCCGTAATAAGCGTATACGAACACACGGGCCCCCATGCATTGTTATCGGATATCGTTATAGGAGCTCAGAAACGATCTACTAAATCTCTCTAAGTACTCCTTTAGGCGAATTGAGTAGTGCAAGAAAGATAAACGTGCTGCTTTATGTATAATTACGCACATATACGAATGGCAGTTGTGAATCATGTTACGCCTGGTACATTGCGCTAAGTAGCTGCAAGCTGTTCACAGCTGTGCCTCTTGTATAAAGATTTTAGGAAATTTATTTTTGACGGCTAGAAACACAAAGAGAGAGAGAGAGAAATGAATCTTGTTAGGCTCTAGTTACAAGAAGGAACAGTCCAAAAGGAACTAAATAGAAAAAGGCAAACAAATTTCAGCTTCGGGGCTAAACTCTTTATTTGAAAATCTTTTTTTTTTTTGGTACAAACAAGCCACTAAAAAGTATAATGCCCACTAACTGCTAAGAACTGCCTCAACTATGAGTATAATGAAACAAATATGAATGAATGTCAATATTTTGCATTTTTAGCGGGTTTGAATCAGGATATATTTTTTCAGTAAATGTTAGAAAAATATCAATATATAAATCATTGCCATATGTTTTGCAGCTACGCAGTGATAATTGTGTGGTGTCATACTTCTTTGCGGTTCGTTTTCTATAACATACAGCAATTGGTATATTAGAAAAATTGTGCTTTATGGCAAGTCTGTGATTTTCTAAAAGAAGTTAACCACAGAATAAGAAGGAGGTTTTTCCTTCTAAAAATAATTCGTAACGAAACACAACCAGTTTAAACAACGTCATCACTTCGCTGACAAAGGTCAAACTGGCATAAATATTATATGAGTTCAAATGAGCAAAGTGTTGACTTCGTTACGAAAGTCAACATTTGCTAACAAAAATTGAATTGGCGCGTAATGACTAGATTTAGTTTTGGAGCATTCGACCACGTGGCACTTGCCATTTTTTTTCTACATATCATAGATTTTTCATTATTAAGGGCGGCCCTTTCATTCACTTGCTAGAGCGATTAATATTTTGATGTACATAACTCCCCTCCAACCATTCCTCAAAAACAAGTACGAAAAAAGCAAAAAAAAAAACTGTGTGCGAGCAAAAAGTGCAACTTTGAGAGAAGATCACGCAACCTTTTCTGCGCCCACGCTACCTCAGACCTGCTTGCTGGTTTCACTACTCTCTGTAGAAAAACCAAGCAGCTGCCCAAATGCTGCACAGAGGCATAGCAGCAGCGCTTTCTCGAGAGACGTGTCTGGTTGCAGGTCGATTTCATTTCGTGGTTCGTTGACGCAGATTAGCCGTCTCGTTTCGCCCCACACAATGCAGGGTCCCAGAATATCCGTCGGTGCAACCTGTTGACAATTAGATTAAGATATTATGGCCTAAAAAAACTTAGTATTACAAATATGAGTATAAACACTTGAACGTTCACATTGCACTAACTGAAACGCTCATAACAGACTGTTCTTAGTTCGTAAAGCTGTGTAACATTAAGTGCACTTTGAGCGTGCTTGAAGTAGTCTCTTTATTGCGAAAGTGATCTACTCGCCGCTGAAATAAATGCGTTTCTTTGCGAGCGTCACAAAAAAGCGTCATGCCGACGCGGTACGGTTATGCCGACGGCGACGCCGCTCAAACTAACTTGATATTTCTGCAAAGCTTTATCTAAAAAAAAACGATTGCGTTGAGACCGATCAAAACCAAAATGAAACATGCCTGCAAGCATCGGAACATGCAAAGATTCACGCGGCTGCCTCTGATGTTACTTCGATTCTTTGCGTCTCCTTCACCGCTGCGACCCTTTTCCCCCTACAATGCAACGTTGTGTACCCTTTTCCTTCTTTCCTGCTGCCACCCTTTTTACCTCTGTACTGCAGTGTCTACAGCCGAGACCAAACTCGCCCGACTACCTCAACGACGCCCCAACATGCACGGTTCATTCCTTCACCTTTCCGAAATAAACAACATTTGTTTCAATTACGCGCTCAATCACAAGCAGCAAAAACTGTTTCCTAGATGTGGCAGTTATGTTGAAAAGCACAACGCTTCAAGAAAAGAAACACGATGAAGACTGTGCAAGTTGATATACTTGCGCTTTCACAACGAAAAAAACAACAAAAAAAAAACAGCGGATTAAGAGACATGGGGGACAAACGAAAACAGGGTTCTTACCCAAATATTGCTGTCTTCCATGAATAGCTGGCGAATGGCCGCAGTAAAGGCACCAGCCAAATGGCAAGCCCTTTCCTTGGCTGGCCATTCAGGTCCGTCTCCCACATGAATTCGGGGCACTCGCACTCGCTATGTTTGCAGCGACCCCGCGGTACTCCACGCACGTCAAGTGCGGTAAACATGGCACACTGTGCCCGAACTCACGCGCCGTCTCTCGCTAAATCACGCAAGTCGCAGTCAGTCAAGCTGGTCCAGCCACCAGCCACAGCCACAAACAAGGCGTGTCGGGAACTGACTGAGCAAGCCAGGGAGCAACGGAAACAGCGCAACGGCTTTCTCGCTTTTCCCGCCAAAAAAAGGACGCATGCGCCCTCTGTGCTTCCAGAAAAAAAAAAAAAAAAGCTTACATCAACAAAAAATCAACAAAAAGGCACGCGCAAGTGGATCTTCAGGAGGGTCAACCCATTCGGATATATATTAGCGTGACGATGAATGGAGGCGCGCGCGTTTCTCCGAAAATCTAAGCGTGTGTTTTGCGGTCGTCACGCTAACGCTGTTGATCACGTCCGAAAAAAAGGCTGAGCGGGATTCCTCGGACTGCTTTAACGCTTGGACACAGAAAACAAACGCTTATTCTCGATCACGTGGTGCTTAAAACGTCATTCCCGTCGTATTGACGTCGGTTCCACGCTTGAAACTCGCGGTTAGCGTGAGGTTCAGCGTGACAGTTTTTAGAGTGTACTTCTGGAAGTACTCCGTGTCCCCACTTATAAGCAAAGGCATCTGCACGAATATATTACATTGTGAGAAAACTAATACCACTAGAAAATCCTTGGTATCAAAATACGAGGTCACAACTCACCGATGTGTGGAACTCCGACTCTCTCCTGCGGTTTTGCCAGATGGGCCTTACCCACCAGCGCCTTGGGCTCGGGAGAGTAAGCAGGATCTGCTTCTTTCTTAAGAGAAGATACTCTTCAAGTCTTCGTAGACGGACATACTCCGGATCATGAGCACATACCCCAATTTCGGAAATACCAACTATGTCCAGGAGGTTCGGGTCGGCCATATCAGTTGGAGTGTTTACATCCGAGGAAGGCGCTGCCCGTGACGCTGCTGAGGATGATCCGAGGTTACATCCTCCGCAAAAACGAAGTTTGAAAAGAGAACCATAAACAAATAAGACCAACGTTTATTTAGTTTTTCGACGCTTTTCTTTGATTTATTAAGGTTAAATTAAAGGGGAAACTGAAAACTAAGGCATAAAAATTGTTGTTAGAAGCCGCTGTAACCGACTCTGCGCATCTGCTTGCTGCAAGCAACATTGGCCATCGCAACGGCAGAAAACGCTCATGTGAAATGAAACCTCGCGATTCGTGCCGCCGCGCCGCTAGCGGCAGCGATTTGGGCGGCGGAATCGCTGCATGTGAAACCCGCTTAAGTATGAAACAGAGTATAGACGCTTTACACACTCGCCAAATTACAGCCGCCATTGCTGACCTTCTCTTGTCTTATCGAGATGCCGAGCAACTGAAACGGTAGTTGCCGATCCTCTACAAAGGCCGATGCTTTAGAAAAGGACCCAGCTTCGAATATAATGTGGCAATAACCTGGCCTGCTATGGTAATGATGAAGTGAAATGAACGAAATAAAAGGAAACAAAAACGGAAGGTCAGTTATGGCGGCGCCCATCCACAGCTGCTGCAAAGCGTCTATATAGTAACGCAAAAAAACGGCACTCGGTGAGATAATTTCATCTTGAGTGGATGATTGGGTCTTGAAGAAGTATGATGCTAAGCATGCATTTTCTCACTATGGGTCGGTCGAGCAGCAGTCATTTCCCGAGGCAATTGTCCTGTCGTGGCCGACGTAATCGGATTTGTTCTATACACCAACTCATGTTTACAAACAAACCGGAGCGCCCGGAGCGCCCCTAGCGGACGCCACCGGCGCCGCTAGGGGCGGTGGCTCGCCGTCGCCCATAAACAAACCATTGAAATGTGGTGTTGTCGGCGTCGGTGCGAGTCCCCGCGCTCTTTTTGGCGTTGGAATTGTTGATTCTACGTCCTCCTAACGATATCTGACTACTTGAGCGGCGTCAGCGAAATCACAGAGGCTCGTTACACCGGAAAACTACGCGTGAATCATCTGACATGCGGCGATTCATTCCGCGTGGACGCCGCAGAATGTACGCTAAAGCCTGATTCACATGGTGAGATTTCGCTCGCAATTTTCAGTAGCGACGTCTCTCATACTTCAAAAGCGTGAACCGTAG